GATTAGGTAAATTGAAAAAATCCACCTCATTTGTATTCAATCCTGCAACCTTCCAGCTTGTATTATATTTCCAGTATTCTATAAGATACATTATTAATTTTGTCAAATAATCCTCTCCAGTACTGCAGTGGAAGATGAATATCAGATTACCAGTATTCTGTAAGATATGTTATTAATTTTGCCAGATAATCCTGTCCAGTACTGAAGTGCAAGATGAATACTATATTTCCAGTGTTCTGTAAGATATGTTATTCCCCTGTCCAGTACTGTAGTGGAAGATGAATATCAGATTTCCAGTATTTTGTAAGATATGTTGTAATTTTGCCATATAATCCTGTCCAGTACTGAACATCATTCAAATGAAATTAATAATAAATGGAAATGTCAATATTACTGTTTGCTTTATATGATTTATAATGCTTTAATATAACCAAAAAACCATGTTCTTAATGGCTTTGAAGTGTAAGTTGTTACCAAAGGTGTGAGGTTAAATAGAAGTATGTGTGATGGAAACAGAATTTTCTTTCAAGTTCCCCACCTTCAGCTTTCCAAAACGCAAGCATTCTATATACGTTATAGTTCACAATGTCCAATGAATCTGGGTAAGGAGATGTTGGATTGATATGAATGAAATGTTATGGCTTTACAAGCACTGGTGAGAAACTTTCTGATTTTGCAATATAACTTCACTCATGTCCTTAGGAACGGATATGAGTGAAGTGATATTGAACCCAGTTCAGAAGAAGAAAAAGAAACAACGGAGCAAGAACCTCTGCAGCACAAGAGATTAGGTTGCAAAAGTGTCTATTGCTATTCAAGTTAACTACTGGTTCCGAAGGGTGTGGGGGGGAGCCCGCATAGGATGGTATGGTAGCATTCTATTTTATTGATGAAGCTGTCGGTGTTGGTGGGAATTTTTCATTTAGTCAAGGTACGTCTGCGTAGAGATGGCAGCAGTAATGCTACGTGACGTCACCGCGGCCATGTTCCCCCCCCAATTAACACAGCTTCAGGTCGATGGGAGTGTTCGCGATCTTCGCGATGTTACGGACACAAGTATTGGAGTTTAGCTGGAGGTTGAAGATTGAGGTTAGTGTTTCATATGTAGATGTTTCAAAAGTTTTACGGACATAGCTTCTTTGTTATTATCTTACAATCTCTCCAGTACTGTTAACTTTCCCACAAGAATTCAAAATGATTCTAGGTCAGCAATAGGTAATATATTCATTGATATCTCAAAAATAAGAGACTATACTGTAGGACCCTTTATAAATGGCTTATCCGATCATGATGCTCAACTCATAGAAATAAATAATATTGACCTTCAGCCCAGTAATCAACAGTATGAAACAGTAAGGAAAATCAGTAAACATACGATGGCAGATTTTGTCACAAAATTAAGTAATGAATCTTGGGACACTGTATTTGACAGCAGTGATATTGATTCTAAATTTAATTGCTTTCTGAACACATACTTGAGGATCTTTTATTCAAGCTTTCCGTTAAAAATAGTAAAAAATGACACTAAAAACAAAACCACCCGGATAACTGTTGGAATAAAAACTTCATGTAAACATTCTAGTAATAATCCACAAGCTATTGCGAGTGCATTTATTGAATTGAATTGAATTTATTTACATTCTATAAATCCTAAGCAGGTTAGTACCTTTGGATACAGAACAAGTCAAAAGGTTACATACATAAGTACAGGCAATTTTAGCTTAAAAATTAATATAACTTAATTTTACATCATTCTCTATTTACATTGAAGTATTCATCTAAAGAGTAGAAGGAATGAGCATGTAGATAATTCTTTAACTCTGATTTAAACTTTTTAGTATCATTGCCCAAGTTTTTAATACT